AAAAAATCATGTATTATGTCAAGTTTCTTAAATATAAAAGATGTTTGATTATTTTGTATTTGCAGAATATGCATGTCACAGAAATAGTTTTCTTCGTCTACAGTTAATGAAAAGGTGGCAACAAATCACACCTGAAGACATGACGATCAGGTCCATTGTTTTTGCTAAAAAAATAAATAAAATGTGTGATGAAATAATGTGAGTGGTCCTAATTTTACGACTGATGAGCACGATGCTGCTGCTCAGTGTGACGAGAATTCAAAGTGTCTATTAGGAAAGTCAAGTGAGGTTGGCAACATTGTTCTTTATATTTCCTTTGTCCCGTCTGCAAACTCAGCAGTAATATGATTCACTGCTGCAGAGCTCGAAGCGTGTCGGAGGAAACCGTTCAGATCGGATGGAAGATGGAATAAATCACAGGCAGAGGACAAAGAGGAGAGTGTGCAGACAAACTAACTCACCCAGCCGTCTGAAATTATCCTCAATGCCGCTCCAGGAGTTCTTGGCAATGAAGGACTTGATCAGGCCCCATGTTGGCTTCTTGTACTTCACATCAGTGTACACCCTAAAAAAAACAGGAATGAGCTTTAAAGTCAAGTCAGAACTACTCAGTAAAAATTACTTTATAGGTTGGCAACAATAAGATCACCTCAGTCGGCACTTCCGCTTWGAGATGCCCACGATGTAGTACCGGCTTTGTGTGTAGAAGTAATCGTGATAGGGAACGTCGTGCATGCAAACCTCTGAGCCCACGATGTAAAACTGGCCCTCCCTGGATTCTTTGTACAGAGTCTGAGAGRGAGATAAAGCTCAGACAAGCTGCGAGGAACAAATCAAACCAAAGCAAAAAGCACAACCGTTCATACACACACACCTGATTCTCTGTAGCTGTGGAGAACTTCCCAATCAGAGGGTTGGTGATGGTTATGGTATAGTTGAGGGTCCGCTTCCCGTTCCCCGAGGAGTCCTTCTGCCAGGCAGTAAGACTGAGATCTGACAGAATGAATGTATAAAACATCAGTAAAGAAATCAATTTATTCTCTGGAATGTGACAAGAATAAAATCAAACCTTACTGGTGATTTTACGAGCGTTCATACACCTGCGAGTGAAGCTGGAGTCGGTGAAGAGCAAATCAAACATTTTGCTCGCGCTGATGAGGAAAACCCTGTTGAGGTACAGCCGRCCCGGCACCTCCGACAGACTGATGCGCTCCTCCACTGCTGGGCGGAAAGAAAACAATTTTAAACCCAAAGAAAAAACACCAGGAAGTTGTGAACTTAAACATCAACGTTTGCAACCTCTGACCTTCTTCGCTTTCTGAGCCGCTTTGCTCAGAAACCAGGTTCTCGTTGGCGTTGAGGTCGAGAGAGTTCGAGGAGCGTTTGGAGACTCTATCTGGGGAGAGACGCTCCTCCAGCGACTGGACGGGGCTGCGCCGCACGGACGGAGAGTGGCGCGGCTCATCCTGCAGGAAAAACAAGCAGGATTTAAGCTGCAGYGCAATTTAAGACGAGGTTGATTAAAAAAAATAAAAAATAAAAACTTAAGACTTCAGGTACCGTGTTGGCTTTGGGTGACGTGACGGGGAACTCCTCCCCCTGAGGCGTAGAGCTCTCGATGGGCCCGACGTCCACGGCGGGGAGGCGGAGGGACTGGGGTCGCTCCAGTTTCAGAGARCCATCATCACCAGCAGGCTTCTGTGTCGGGCTGCAGGAACAGGTTAGCATTAGAGCTGCAGGATGTCAGAAAACATGCAGTTACAACTGATAGATCCACGTTAACCCTTTGTGTGCCAGCTGAGCGTTTAGAGCATCCATCTGATTGAAACTTAATTCTAATGCAATATATTGAAATTGCAGACTATAAAAGTAATAAAATAGAAATGAAAAAGAACTTWGAGTCAGGAATGCCACAACACAACCACACCTGTTAATAACTTGGCCTGATATCTGATCCACCCATTCACCTTCTCACATTAACCGGTTTCCCTTCTTATCTCACTCATTTATCATGACTCACGTTCTGGTCTCAAACTCAACCTTTAGGTCCAGCCACACTTTTATTCCTCAACTCCGATTGGGCCAATAAATCTACAATCACTGATGTATTTTATTGAAGGGGTGTCTGTTGAGCAACCAGCATTTCTCACTGAAAGTGTTTTAAACAAGTCCGAAAGAAATCGTCTAAAACTGGATTATCATAGGCAACACAAAAACAGCAAAAGCTCAAACATTCACAGATGTTAAGCTAGAACTGTAGCCGACAGTCCTCCCGCAGTGCTAACTGATCTTAAAATTATAGACATTTACAAGATTTAAACAGAATGGCTTTTGGATAATTTCAGTGTAAATGTGATGTCTGACAGTCCTTCAATTTGATTTTAATTTAAAGCAGAAGTGTTTAACTCAGTTAMAGGAGAGCTAAATTCAAAAGTTGGGCCAAGCCAAGGACCACTTTGTCAATATTTATACTGTAGAAATGTTATGCAACAAATTATTCTTATAGAAATACAAATGACCTTTTTTCAAATTGTTTTATGTAGCATTGAGAACACAAGAAATCGAACGGATAAAAAAAAAGGGATTACCGTACATTCATCAACAACTTTTTCCATTTTTTTAAAAGATGCATTTTATCACAATACATTAAATGAGTTGAAAACCGAAACTAAAAATACAATTATTTGGCTTTAAAATAAGAATATAGAAATAGATAACTAAAGATGATTCTCTGTTGCTCTTTTCACACTAAATCCTACTATTACTAAAAATAAAAAATATTCACAATTTTTAAGTATTACCTTTTAGGGCTGTGTATTGGGAAGAATGTGGCGATACGATACAGGGATCATGATACGATGCATCACGATYGTGTAAGAAAGGCGATATATTGACTTTTCTTCAAAATATTTTAATTTTTCAAAACGTGCATCACATGCGAAAAAATATGATTTAATTCATTTTGGTTTTAAGCAATTAGAACAGTGAATAGTGAGAACTGCATTTCACATTTCTTCTTACAGCTATTATAAAAATACATTTTTGATACAGCATCAGGAAATGAAATATCGCAATATTTCTGTGCATCAATATTTTCTTACACCCCTATTACCTTTGGGGCCGAATAAAACGTTAACGAGGGCCAGGTGTGGCCCCCGGACCTTGAGTTTGAAATGTGATTTTAAAAAAAAGGATGGCAGGTGCCTTTTTTTTTTTTACCTGGTCTGCATGTTTGCATCTGTGGACACCTGTAGAGTCTCCATCTCCTCATTGCTCAGGCCCAGATCATTCCCATAATGCTGTTTCACCATCTGCCACAACTCCTGGCCGCTCAGAGCCTGAAGGGGAAGAGGACATCAGACTTGATTTGATTTTAAAACCAGTATTCAAACTGATCTGCCCCTCTTCACCACAGTGAAGATCAGACTAAACAGACCTGCAGCAGCAGCAGGTGCAGGAGGTTCCCTGAACGTTTGACCTCCTCCACCAGCTATAATTTACAGCCATCTCCACAAACAATACAACTAAGCTGACTTTAACACACAACAAGCGCACTCCCAAATTTTTAAAGCAGTTTATGCTCAAAACTAAAAAAAACAGCTGGTTTCACATCAGGAACAGCTCGGTTGTAGATTTCGGCAGAAAAACAAAAACCTTTAAAACGTACTCGCTGTGTTTTAGTTTAGTTTCCCCCCTTTAAAAAAAATAAAACCACGACAGAAAGTTTGTTTTTCCTCGCGGTTTCCTTACCTGTCAGAGAACACGTCCCCGCGGCTGTCCAACCCAAATATGTACCCTGGACGCGGCGCGCGCATTCAGGAAGTTGGACCGAGTCCAGGAGCGCAGGAGACGCGCCGCCCAGCTCCGCACAATAAATAATGACTCCTCACTTTTTACACGAGTTATAACCCGGTGCCGGGTTGTTTTGAAGAGACCCCCCCACCCAGCTGAGAGCTTCTGCTCCGGTCCRGGTTTGAAGGCGGGTCGTTGTTGCTAATCAGCCCCTCGGAGCCACACCTGGAGGGGGTCAATGAACTCAGGTTTCTACCTTCACAGGTGTTTACGCGCCTCCAAATCAGACTCCCCCCTGAGGAAGCGCTGCCACCTAACGTGCAGGTTCTAATGACAGGTAAAAGAAGGGCTGAAGTCCCAGCAGACTGTCGTTATTTCATCACTTTAACTGTTTCCTGTTTACAAACTGAGGGGAAGTTGGTCGAATTTAGGCCATTTTTTATATTTTAGATCTAAAATCTCAAAGAGGGTGTGATGATTTAARTGTCCGACTTGTCAAAACATGTCATCTTCCCCCTAAGGAAAAGTAACATTCTGAATAACAAATGTATATCCTGATGCATCTCAGTAATCCAGGTAAAAAAAAATCAAAAAGAAAAAAATTGTATAGGTCCTCTGGACGGGTTCTTCTCTAATGAAACGTTTCGTCTCTCCTCCAAGAGACTTCTTCAGTCTGAGAGTTTCAGGCWAAATTCAGGCTTTTAAGTCCTGCCTCCATGTGACTGATACTCACATCACATGGCTGTCGTTGACACCTAATTAACACCTATTGTTAACAGGGGGTGGAGTGATACTGGCAATAGCCACGCTGTAGGAGGGGGACAACTGAAGACGGAGGCCTCCACCTCTGTTTAACGATGGACGGTCTTTCTTCACAAAAATGGCTTCTTTTACTCCTCTCTCAAACCAACGTTCCTCTCTATCAAGAATGAGAACATCCTCATCTCTGAAAGAGTGACCGCTGGCCTGTAAATGAGTGAAAACTGCAGAGTTCTGGCCGTTAGATGCAGCTCATCTGTGTTGGGACATTCTTTTGAACAGTGGCTGCTTTGTTTCCCCGATGTATAACTGGTCGCAGTCCTCCTGGCACTTAACAGCAAACAACAAATGTATAGGAGCAGACACTCTGCCTTATATTGTTGTTATGGCAAGTCTCAATAACACTGTCAGTCCAAGATGGCTGCCATAGCAAACCGTAACTGGTAATAATTTAGTCCCTACACCATTTCATAGTTTTCTACGTAAATAACATTTAAATTTGATCGTTGTGATTGCATTTTGTTTACGTTTAAGTTTTTTTTGTGTGAATTCAAGAGAAAACACTGGAGTCTGTAGTAAAAGTGTAATTTTAAGTTTTTATGTAAAAAATACTTATGAGAATTTTAACATGATTTTGATTTTTCTCATAAACTGAGTTGAATTTGTTAAACTCCAATGGCGTTTCCATGTGACCCAGCCGCTTTGTGCATTTATATGGTCAGTTAAAGTGTTTCCCAGTCCTGGTCCTCAAAGACCACCATCCTGCAGGCTTTACTAGTTTCATTCATTAACAGAGGAAGCATCCAAAGCCTGCAGGATGGTGGTCCTGATGATTTTAGCTTAAGTCTCCTGCATGAAAAGTGACGAGCGAGAAGCATTTATTCAAGAAATTCTTATTATTTACACAGTTTTTCTTAAGTTTAGTTCTCAAACTGTTCATTAAAACTAACTTTTAAAAGAAAACAAAAAGCATTTTATTATCAGTTTGGTTTTAATCAGAGCAAATTCAAAGCTGGGGGAAACTTTGAATTGTTACTTTTACTTGAACCAAAGGTTTGTGGAAGTGAGGAAAAAATACTTTTTAAAAAATGCCTTCAGTGACGAGTTAAACTTTTTGCTTTATTCATTCACTTGAACTCAACTTTCAGGTGCTCTTCCCCAGTAATCTAACTTCTTATAAACACACTTTTATTTTTCCTCCAGCGTTTGTTAACATTTTGCACAGGTTTCATCTTCAACTATGTACCAAAGTGAACAAGCTTAAATTTATTCTGAGAAATGTTTCTGGCTCGCACCGTTCTGCCTCTCTGTCTGGGTCAAAGGTGAAAGCTCGGTTTGAGTGAGTTTATTTGTAACTGCGTTCACGACGAACATCTGGGTAAAAATCCTCCCAACCTGCTGCCTCAGATTACAGAAGAGTAAACTTCAAACGGTGCAGCAGAACAGCAGCGATAACCTGATGAGCAGACAGCGTGTGGCTGAGACCGGCTGAACTTTGACCTCGTCAGATAAATACTTTTTTAGAAGTCTGACCTGCTGACGCAGCCGTGTTTTATTCAAGTAAAACAACTCCTGTGGGAAGGATTAATTATGTTTTTTTAGTAATTTTATAAAAAATGAGACTTACTTTGTTCATCAAAGTGTTTTGCCACATTCGAAAAACACTCTGGTAGCTCCGCTCTCTCGCTGGGAAGGAGGCGAAGAAGAGCTGAGGGTCGACAGAGTATTGGTTTATTTTTTGTTTGGTAATTATTAAAATATAGGAGAAATAAAAATCTCTAAATACCTTCTCAGTTTTTGTACAGATCTGGATGGCGTTTGGGATCAGTCGAGCCATTTTCTCTCTGGACATCGCGGTGATGTCTTTAAGAGTCAATGTAATCTTTAAAAAAAATAAAATAAAATAAATATTACCACAGTTATCACAGAATGTCGTATCTTCACTGGATTTTAACTCCAAAAGTGGATGATTATGTTTTATAGTGCGTTAGAAAAAAAAACTGCAAACTGCACAGATTTTAACGAAACTTTCAGAACGTAATTTATAATGGTTGAAAAGATGAGATGTTTGTCACTTTTATAAGAAACAACAAAAATAGGTGCAGCTGAATCAGCAAAAATACGCACAAAATTAATAGAATCAAAGGATTTTTTAGTGACGTACAAACTGGTTAAACGTGTTTAATCTGAGGCATGTGTTTCAGTTTGGGGGTTATAATGAGGAGCAGTTTTATTGGGAGTTAAAGACCATGATTACTTTAGAATATGAACTGTTTGAGGCAGTTTGTCCTGGTTTTCATTGCTCTCCTTACTGATGGCAAAAGCTGGAAGAGGCCTCAACAAATATAAAAGTGAACACGACTCAGTTAAATTTACAGATAATGAGCTTAAGTCTGGTTTGACAGTTGAAAATCTAATCTAAGAAAATAAAAGTGAGGACTTCTTTGCTTTTTTGTAATGCAGTTTGCATTTAATGACTTTTTTCATCCTAAAAAAAAAAAACACATTTACCTCTGAAAAGCAAAACTCTCACATTGGAGGGCATAAAATGGAAACGTGTTTCTTTTTAATAATCCTTTTTTGTGAAAGTTGCACTTTAACGATGTGTTCAATAATCTGTTATGTCATTAAATTGTGGGGTTATATGCATCTATAAAAATGTTTTTTTTTTTCCTTTTTTCGTTACCTTGGTCCCGCGGAACACATTGCTGTAGAAACAGACCCAGTTCTCTGAAAGGTAGAGGCGTCCCTGCAGGAGGATGTCCCTCTGGAGCGCACACGGATAATCTGAGGAGGAGGAGGAGGAGGAGGTATCGCACACAGATGAAGAGCTCTGTTTACAACCTGCTCTCAGGTAATTAGGGAGAAGAATACTCCGAGTATAAATAAAGAGCAAACATTTAGTTTTTTTTTAATCAGATATTTTAGCTTTATGGATTCAAATGACAAAATGATTTGATGAGAGTTTGTGTTTTTTTTTTGTTGCTTACCCAGTATGAGCAGCTCTGATTCAGGCAGTTCTTTGAACAGCCTCCTGAACTCCTCCAACCTCTGCTTGTAGCTCTGCAGAGGAGCCTGAGGCACCGCGAGACATGGACCCTGGGTTTCAGGGCTCTGATTTAAAAATAAAAAGACTGTATTATTATTATTATTATTATTATTATTATTATTATTATTATTATTATCATTGTTATTATTATCATTATTATTATTATTATTATTATTATTATTATTATTATTATTATCATCATCATTATTGTTATTATTATTATTATTGCAGAAGCTATGCATTTGTGAAGATTTTCTTTGTGGCAGTAACAAGTAAACAGTTTGACCTGTCATTGGGGTTTAGAACCACAAGAGGGCAGTGAGATGTTTTTACCTCAGTTTACTTTAGAACTGAATGACTTGATTAAATTGCTCTGAGGGCCACAGTTACTGCAGGCCAGCAGCTCAGAGGCCAAACAGCCAGAAATTAAAGTCATCATGAAAATAAACCAAGTATTATAGAGATCTGTTACCTTTGAAATAGTTTATTTTGCTGCATTTAATCATGAACACTACACTATGGAATAAAAAGAGTGATTTAAAATATCCAAAACAAAAACATATTATGCCTCCTATACTAAAATATTTTGACATCTGACTTGCCAAATTTATAAAGCAATTTTATATTTCTTATCCTAGTTAAATCTACAAGCATTCATCCATGAAGATAAAACTGATGTACACAGAAATGGTTTTTAGATTCTGATGTTTTTGCAGGTACCACACAAGTCTATGTCTAGCTAAAACCACTTAAAGTAATTAAAAGCAGAAAACCAGGGATTTAGGCTTAAAAGATTAATGAAACAACTTGCGGGCCAGACTTCCGTCACTTGCGGAAGTGCTGGATGGGCTGGATGTGGCCCGCAGGCCACCAGTTGACTTTAGATTTATGGAGCAGCTGTGTGACAGTGAGGTGGCCTTACGTCCTCATCTGAGCTCAGCCTGAGTTCCACCAGGGATGAGAACTCATCGTCGCTGCCCACTCCTGACCGGCTGGATTCCTGGTCCATCGACTCTGCAGGGCTGCTGAGAAACAAAAACACAGACTGGATCATAATCTGGGGCAAAAACAGGAGCACAAATATGGTCTTGGAGATCTACAGGTGCTGGTCATAAAATTAGAATATCATGAAAAAGTAGATTTATTTCAGTAATTCCATTTAAAAAGTGAAACTTGTATATTATATTCATACATTACATACAAACTCATATATTTCAAATGTTTATTTCATTTAATTTTGATGATTACAAATGACAACAAATGAAAATCTCAAATTCAGCATATCAGAAAATTAGAATCTTGTGAAAAGGTTCAAAATGGATGGCACCTGGTACCACACTCTAATCAGCTAATTAACTCAAACCAACTGCAAAGGCCTTTAAATGGTCTTTCAGTCTAGTTCTATAGGCTACACAATCATGGGGAAGACTGCTGACTTGACAGTTGTCCAAAAGACGACCATCGACACCTTGCACAAGGAGGGCAAGACACAAAAGGTCATCGCTAAAGAGGCTGGCTGTTCACAGAGCTCTGTGTCCAAGCACATTAATAGAGAGGCGAAGGGAAGGAAAAGATGTGGTCGAAAAAAATGTACAAGCAAGAGAGATAACCGCACCCTGGAGAGGATTGTGAAACAAAACCCATTCAAAAATGTGGGGGAGATTCACAAAGAGTGGACTGCAGCTGGAGTGAGTGCTTCAAGAACCACCACACACAGACGTATGAAAGACATGGGTTTCTGCTGTCACATTCCTTGTGTCAAGCCACTCTTGAACCACAGACAGCGTCAGAAGCRTCTTGCCTGGGCTACAGAGAAACAGGACTGGACTGCTGGTGAGTGGTCCAAAGTCATGTTCTCTGATGAAAGTAAATTTTGCATTTCCTTTGGAAATCAAGGTCCCAGAGTCTGGAGGAAAAGAAGAGAGGCACTTCATCCACGTTGCTTGAAGTCCAGTGTAAAGTTTCCACAGTCAGTGATGGTTTGGGGTGCCATGTCATCTGCTGGTGTTGGTCCATTGTGTTTTCTGAGGTCCAGGGTCAACGCAGCCACATACCAGGAAGTTTTAGAGCACTTCATGCTTCCTGCTGCTGACCAACTTTTTGGAGATGCAGATTTCATTTTCCAACAGGACTTGGCACCTGCACACAGTGCCAAAGCTACCAGTACCTGGTTGAAGGACCATGGTATCCCTGTTCTTAATTGGCCAGCAAACTCTCCTGACCTTAACCCCATAGAAAATCTATGGGGTATTGTGAAGAAGAAGATGCAATACACCAGACCCAACAATTCAGAAGAGCTAAAAGCCACTATTAGAGCAACCTGGGCTATCATAGCACCTGAGCAGTGCCACAGACTGATCGACTCCATGCCACGCCGCATTGCTGCAGTAATACAGGCCAAAGGAGCCCCAACTAAATACTGAGTGCTGTACATGCTCATACTTTTCATGTTCATACTTTTCAGTTGGCCAACATTTCTATAAATCCTTTGTTTTTATTGGTCTTCAGTAATATTCTAATTTTCTGAYATGCTGAATTTGAGATTTTCATTTGTTGTCATTTGTAATCATCAAAATTAAACGAAATAAACATTTGAAATATGAGTTTGTATGTAATGTATGAATATAATATACAAGTTTCACTTTTTAAATGGAATTACTGAAATAAATCTACTTTTTCATGATATTCTAATTTTATGACCAGCACCTGTATAAATGAACAAAAACAACAGTTGACAGTAGAACCTACTGATGCATTATCTGTGAAAATGATCAATAATTTAGATGAAATTTGTTGCAAAGATGAAACAACTGTAGAATGAAACTAAAATTAGCGTAACTAAAAGCTAAAAAGGAGAAAAATGAGCTGCAAGCCAGTGGCAAAAAGCTAAACATAGAACAATACTAAAAAAATAAACTAAAAAGAAGGAAATTTGTAGCTTAAAATGAGCTGAAACCTAAAAAAAAGGGACTGAAGAAAAAATAAATGATTCATTTTGTTTTAAATAAAGCCAAATATTGTCAACAAGTTGCCAAGAAATTAATCCTGAGAGAATGGAAGTCGTCCACTCTTTTTTTTTTCCAGTTGTTGGTAACCAACATAACTAAAATACAAAAATTTCTCAGAGTTTACTTTGCAAAGACTCGTTAACACTAACTGAACTCTGATCCAAAGATTTTAATTTTTTTATTGTCTGTTTAATTATAATAATTGGTGGGTTTTTTTGTGCATCTGAGCCTCATTTGTTTTTGCTATGAGCTTTGAAATTTTTAAATTGGAAAAAACATTAAGCAAAACGTTTGTAAAATTAAAAAAAAAGTTACATAAACCAGAAGTTGTAGCTGTAGTTGAATTTTTAGTCATATGATTGGTTAAAAATAGAACAAAGTGCTGTTTGAGACAATATAAAAAAAAAGTAAGAATGCCGAGTCAGCAACCACACTATAAAAGATTTATATGAACACAGATCTGCACAGGAGGAAATTATTCTGAATCTTTATTTAAAAAAAAAATTGTACAAACTTGCATTAACATCCTACTTTGTACGACTCATGGCTTCTATGTCTCAATAGATGTTATAAACTTCAACGTAACGTTCTGCACAATCTTTAGAGTTCACCTCGAACAACAGTTTAACCAAGTATCTTACTCTGGCTCCAGGATTCATTTTGGAATGAAAACAAAAATGTTCATTTTCTGCAGGATTTTCAACTCGAGGAGGACTTTTTTTTTTTAATCACTCAAAATTGCTGGAACGAGACAACAGTTGCTTCGTTAAGATAATTGATTTTTCCTTTAAATAAAAACACACACACTTCAAAACCTAAATAAATTAATCATGTGTTTTTAACTGAACATCTTGCCTGCTTCAATCCCTTCAAATTAAAGCAGTGTCTTCTTTTTCCACACAGCTGCTGAGTTTTGTCAAMCCTTTTGTTTAAAATGTAGTGAAAATGAGTTCTACTGATGTTATTTAAAAAAAACCAGCCTGACAAGGACCAGATATTAAACTCATTTAAAACATTAGAATTTTACCCTTTAAAAACATAAAATCACATTTTAACTGAGTTAGCCTTTATGAAAATGTGAATGTTTTGTTCATTTTGACTTTTAATATCAGTGATTCCCAATCCTGGTCCTCAAGATCCCCTATCCAGCATGTTTTACTGGTTTCCCTGACATTCAGCAGGTCTTCAGAAGATTGTTAATCACTCGTTCATTCAAAGCAGGTGTRTCAAATCAGGGAAACGTCTAAAAATCACTGCTTTAAATGTTGACCAACACCTCAAGAGCTAGATGTTTACCTGATTTGACACACCTGAAGAGCAGGGAAACAAGTAAAACATGCAGGATAGGAGCTGGGAACGACTGAATTAGGTTGTTTTTAAATCACATGGATGCCGTTTTATCTGCTGTTTTTATGTTTCACGTCYTGTAACTTTGTGGTTTCTGACCTAAAGGTTCTACACATAAAGTTTACTTACTTTGAGCACGTGGGAGGAAATGATTGAACTGATCGTTCAAGTTAAAACATAACAGGAATATCTGAGTTTAAAAAAATGTCTGTATCACTGCAACAGAACTGGTTTGTCTGGAGTTTAAATCACATCAGGTCAGCAGAAAGCTTCATGCACKAGTAAACACAACTTCTAAACTCCTGGAGAAAATAAAAATGTTAATCTGATTTTATTCAAAACAAAGCTGCAAAAGAACCTGTTGATGAAAGTCTGACTCAAGCTCCTCATTTTAAACAAAAAAATCTGTTGAATATTTAGTTTTTAACTCACCTGACACGTAGAGGACCCAGGATGTCTGTGGTTTACCTGCCCGAGCTCACGACAAACAAAAAGGAACACCTGAAAGTGTTGGCTGGAAGCAGCTCTGAGGCTCCTCGGATGTTAAATGCTCTCTGTGAGACGGCAGGTGATTCTCATCCTGCAGGGGAACATACCTTCTGGGAGTCGTCACCTCACTGATGACGCCCTTTAAGGCAGCAGCTTCAAAGGCTGTCAGGCTCGACTCGTAAATTCAACTCTCTTAAGCTGCCGCATCATGAATTATTGTTTATTCATCAAGAAGCGCTAAGTTTATACGTGCTGTTAGGAAAACGGCGATTGAAGTGATTAAAAAAATGTGCTTTAAAGTTCTATTTTTAGGTTTTTCAAGCAAAGGGCTGGGTTTGTTCAGGTGTKAAGTCACGCAGAGATACAGGTTGAACAGCACCGACAGCTTCATCAGCAACAAATAGGATTAAACAAACACACCAGACCTGTTGTTTTTGCTTGTTTTGTTTTGTTCCCACACTGTTTTAATTCTTTGAGAGAAACATCATGAAACAGCTGGACAGCAGAGTCTGACTCTTACACATTCGCACAGCAACAGTACACGACACCGCCGAAATACAACCATAAAAACAAAAACAAGGACAAAGAAAACAGGAAGCCTCTACATCAAAACGCTGGCAATAAATAGACTGATCTTATTAAATTTATATTCTTCTGTACAGATGCTTGGTGAGTTACGACACGTCCACTCTTCGAGGGGAGCAAAGACACGGCTACACGCAGAAATCATGTAAACAGAGAAGAAGGGAAAAAAAGGGAAAACGAGGTGATGAGATCCGGCCGTCACGCTCGCTTTTAACTCTTCACACACACACACACACACACACACACACACACACACACACACACACAC